TCTACGTGCTGTCCCTCCCTGATGCCCTCCCTCCCCTTTCCCCTTCCTCTCTCTCCCTCTCTCCCTCCCCCTTCTTCTTTCCCTCTCTCTATTAATCGTTCCCTCTACTCTCTCTCCCTTGATGCCTTTTCTTGTTTCCTTCTCTCTCCCTTCCCTGATATCCTCCTTTTACCTTATCATTTCTCCCTCCTGATGCCCTTCTTCATTTTCCTCTTCCTCCTCCTTCCCCCTCTTTACCTCCCTCTTCCCTCCCCATCCCTGGTTCCTCTCCCAGCTCGTCTTCCTCCCCCTCTCATCCTTACTACACACACACACACACACACACACACAACCCAACCCCCCCTTAATTACAGGTTTTGCGCGTATAATTCTCTCTCAGGTATACTCAATCGCGCTTGGGTACATATAATCTACCTCTGGAGGGACTCGAGCCTTGGAGTAGTCTGCAGGAGGAGGGGGAGGGTAGTCTGGGAGGAGGTTGAGGCCTCCCGTCAGATAGACACACACTCGCCAGCACAAGAATAAACGACCCTTTCAACGTGAAGTTTGATCCAGTGGCATAACAATGAGCTCTTCTAGACGCCCTTAACCAAAACCTACTTCCTTCTCACTGTCTTCATTATTTTCTTCTTTTCTTTCTTCTCTTCCTCTTTTCTTCTTTCTTTCTTCCTTTATTCTTTTCTGATTTTATATATATTTTTTTACCTTCGTCTTCTTTTCGGTTTTATATTTTTTATTTTGATTTTTCATCCTCTTCCTCCCCCACCACCTCCTCCCTCCTCATCCCCCTCCTCCTCCTCCCCTCCTGCTCCTCCTCCCCCCTCCTGCCTCCCCCCCCTCCTGCTCCTCCTCCCCTCCTGCTCCTCCTCCCCTCTGCTCCTCCTCCCTCCTCCCTCCCTTCCCCTCTCCTCCTCCCTTCTTCCTCCTTCCTTTCTTCTTTAACGTCTTTTCTGCATCATTCTCTCCTTTTTCCTTTACGTTGGGAGAGGTGTGGAAGGTGGGGAGGGATGGTGGGGAGATGGGGAGCTGTTTGTGGGAGGGATGGTGGGGAGATGGGGCTTTCACATCCGGAGGGATGGGGAGACTGTCTGGGGAGCTGTTTGTGGGAGGGGATGGTGGGGGAAGTGGGGGTAGGTTGTGGTTGTGGGGGAGGGTAGAGATCAGTCGACTCGTGTAGTCTGTCATTTACGTGATGATGGTGAGGGTAGTGACGTGTGGTGAGGGTAGTGACGTGTGGTTACGGCGGTGATAATAGTGACGTAGTGGTGACGATGGTGAAGACAGTGACGTGTGCTGTTGACTTCGGTGACGATAGTGACATGTCGATGGTGTGGTGACGTAGTGTTGACGATGGTGAGAATAGCGACGTGGTGGTGACGATGGTAAAGACAGTGATGTGGTGGTGACAATGGTGAGGATAGAGACGTGGTGGTGACGAAGGTGAGGATAGAGACGTGGTGGTGACGAAGGTGAGGATAGAGACGTGGTGGTGACAATGGTGAGGATAGAGACGTGGTGGTGACGAAGGTGAGGATAGAGACGTGGTGGTGACGAAGGTGAGGATAGAGACGTGGTGGTGACAATGGTGAGGATAGAGACGTGGTGGTGACGAAGGTGAGGATAGAGACGTGGTGGTGACGAAGGTGAGGATAGAGACGTGGTGGTGACGAAGGTGAGGATAGAGACGTGGTGGTGACGAAGGTGAGGATAGAGACGTGGTGGTGACAGACTAGAGTCAATATTACATTAAGTCATTGTACAGCGTTGCCAGGAGTGATTATTTACATGCCATCGTCTTTGTGTGGATGATAGATAGATCGATAGACTTCCTGGGCTAATAGATAGGTACACAGATTCAAGACCAGGTAAACTCCAGGTAGACTAAGACTCAAGACCAGGTAAACTCCAGATAGACTAAGACTCAAGACCAGGTAAACTCCAGGTAGATTGATTCAAGACCAGGTAAACTCCAGGTAGACTAAGACTCAAGACCAGGTAAACTCCAGATAGACTAAGACTCAAGACCAGGTAAACCCCAGGTAGATTGACTCAAGACCAGGTAAACTCCAGGTAGACTAAGACTCAAGACCAGGTAAACTCCAGGTAGACTAAGACTCAAGACCAGGTAAACCCCAGGTAGATTGATTCAAGACCAGGTAAACCCCAGGTAGATTGATTCAAGACCAGGTAAACTCCAGGTAGACTAAGACTTATGACCAGGTAAACTCCAGGTTAAGTAAGACTCAAGACCAGGTAAACTCCAGGTTAACTAAGACTCAAGACCAGGTAGACTCCAGGTTAACTAAGACTCAAAGCCACGTAAACTTCAGCATGTAAAACCTAGGTAAACTTTTTGAGGCCAGTCCGGGGTATATAGGAGGCGAACTGCTGTAAACTACCGGGAAGTTGCCTGGCTAACTGCGTCTCCTCCCTCACTCCTCCTCCTTCACGCCCACCTTTAAGGCTCTCCAACACTTAGACCAAGTTTCCTGATCCTCTTCATCTCTCTCTCTCTCTCTCTCTCTCTCTCTCTCTCTCTCTCTCTCTCTCTCTCTCTCTCTCTCTCTCTCTCTTATATGTTAGAGCTAACTTTAATCTTTGACTTATTGTAATATACATGCTGAGCGAGATGAGGTGCAGTGTGTTGTAACGTCATAATTCTCTTCAGTGTGTTTGGGTGGTGGTGGTAATAAACAAACTGGATCACATGAAGATTAGTCACCCTAGCTTAAGATTAATCACTCACGCTAACCTACTCTAACCTACTCTAACCTACTCTAACCTAAACTAAACCAAACCTAACCTACTTTACCATAACCTAACCAACTCTGAATTACTCTTAACCTAACCTAACCTAATGTGACCTACTCTTAGCCAACCCCTACCTAACCTACTTTAACCCAACCTACTTTAAAATAACCTAACCTACTCTGACCCTCGGGTATCGGTAGGATGTTTTAATCATCAGGGGAAATCAGCTGGGAGTGAGGGGGTGTCTAATCTTCACATGATCCAACCAATGAAATATACAAGCCTTTTCTCTCTCTATCTCTCTCTCTCTCTCCTCCACACCATAACGACTCATTCTGGGCCAAATGGACTGTCAGAAATAATCCGGGTAAGAAATTCTTACTGGGGGACAGACAGACAGACAGACAGACAGACAGACAGACAGACACCTACTTTGCATCTCTAATTCCTAACTCCAGTGTCTTAAAAAATACTTGCTCCTGATTGGCTATTCAACTCCCAGTCATAATCATAGGTCTGGACACGTTCAAAGTCCCGTATTGTTGTTATTTTTTTTATTTTTTTATGGTTGATGCGATTTTGTTTTCTTTAAAGGGAATGAAAAGTGAGGATTATTATCGTTATTATGTAGTGGTGAAGTGAGAAGGGTATTTAGTGTAGTGTAGAAGGTGGTGGTTGCCGTGGGGGTGGTGATTGTGGTGGTGGTAATAGTGATGTGGGGGTGGTGGCTATGGTGTGGGTAGTGGTGGAGGTGGTGGCTGGGGTTGTATTGAAATTGGTGAGCTTGTGGTAGGGGTGGTGAAATTGGTAGTGGTGGTGGATGTAAGTGGTGGTGGTAGTGCATCGTCAGTAGTTAAACGTTGGTGATAGTACTGTAGTTCTAAACCTTCCGTCTTCTTTATCTCGTCGTGTAATAATAATAATAATAATTAGCGGTTTGTTGAAAAAGTTCTGCAGCCCGAAGGCTGAAAATATACATTGGACATAAATGACTTATTACATACATTGGTGGTTTAACAAAAGCCTTCATTAGAAAAGGGTAAAGGAACATACAGTGAACATTCAGATTAATGTAGGTGTTGAACGGCAAACACGTAGTGTAGTAACTCTCTCCCAGATGGTGTTAGGAGGGACCTGATGTGGTGTAGTAATTCCCTCACAGATGGTGTTATGAGGGGCCTCACGTGTAGTAATTCCCTCACAGATGGTGTTACGAGGGGCCTCACGTGGTGTAGTAGTTCCCTCATAGATGGTGTTACGAGGGGCCTCACGTGGTGTAGTAACTCCCTCACAGATGGTGTTATGAGGGGCATCACGTGGTGTACGAATTCCCTCACAGATGGTGTTATATGAGTGAGGTGTGGTCCCAGGCCTTCCTATCGTAGACGGATTAACACATCGCTGGTTGTTGTTGGGTCTCACGGGCCGTTATCACTGGGTACCTGGGACCTCACTGTGTGAAGGTTAACTTGAGTACGACTGTTTCTGTTGAGTTGTTCTCACTGACTTAAGCACTGTTCACCAATGTTCACCTCTGTTTAACACTGGTTCCATTCCTTTCCTAAATGAAATTGTAATTCTGGCGAGAACATGTTGATATTCCGGTAGAAGTGGTTCAGGGAGGGGTTGCAACAAACAGTTGACCTGGCTGCTCCAGAGGAGCGCCAGGTACGTCTTGACCTTCGGTGGTCAAGGATGTAGTGTGTGTGTGTGTGTGTGTGTGTGTGTGTGTGTGTGTTTGTTTTAATGGACCCACCGTCGTAACTAAACCCAACCATCGTTAAAATAAAACTCAGTGTCGTTTAACTGAACCCATGTTATAACCCTTAATTAAACGAACCCTTTATCCACCTCTTCCCATTCCCCCTTCCTACTCTTTCCCTCACTCTCTTTTTCTCCCCTTCCCTTAAAGCTTTTGCCTCACGATCGACCCAGGTGCCGTTTAATGAAGCCTGCCGAAATGACAACCCCCACCTGGCTGGCTGATACAGTGATTGTGCCTTAAACTCACGTAAAACACGCACTCACACACACACGCACACACACACACACACACACACACCAGGTGGGCTCCCCTAAACACTTTATTATTAATGAGGGTGACGAGGCGAGGTGCGGAACGGTGTCTTCCTCACGCTCCATTGACTTCCATCAAAATCCAGCCCCAGCCCTGAGAACTTTTGTATCTGGCCTCAGGGAAAGAGAGGTCAAGTTGGCGCCCTGAGAACTTGTATCGGGCCTTATGGTACTATGGTCCTGAGAACTTGTATCGGGCCTTATGGTACTGTGGCCCTGAGAACTTGTATCGGGCCTTATGGTACTGTGGCCCTGAGAACTTGTATCGGGCCTTATGGTACTGTGGTCCTGAGAACTTGTATCGGGCCTTATGGTACTGTGGCCCTGAGAACTTGTATCGGGCCTTATGGTACTGTATGTGGTCCTTAGAACTTGTATCGGGCTTCATGGTACTGTGGCCCTGAGAACTTGTATCGGGCTTTATGGTACTGTGGCCTGAGAACTTGTATCGGCCTTATGGTACTGTGGTCCTGAGAACTTGTATCGGGCTTCATGGCAGGGCCCTGAGAACTTGTATCGGGCCTTATGGTACTATGGTCCTGAGAACTTGTATCGGGCCTTATGGTACTGTGGCCCTGAGAACTTGTATCGGCCTTATGGATCCTGAGAACTTGTATCGGGCCTTATGGTACTGTGGCCCTGAGAACTTGTATCGGGCCTTATGGTACTGTGGTCCTGAGAACTTGTATCGGGCCTTATGGTACTGTGGCCTGAGAACTTGTATCGGGCCTTATGGTACATGGTCCAGAACTTGTAACGGGCCTTATGGTACTGTGGCTCTGAGAACTTGTATCGGGCCTTATGGTACAGTACTGTGGTCCTGAGAACTTGTATCGGGCCTTATGGTACTATGGTCCTGAGAACTTGTATCGGGCCTTATGGTACTGTGGCCCTGAGAACTTGTATTGGGCCTTATACAGTAGTAGACCTACCCAGCCCTGAGAGTCCATTATGTGGTCGTTTATACTCCAACACGGTGGATAAGATGCAGATGGTGACTATCTCAGGGGTCAGGTATGACAGGCTGACCCTAACATGTTGTCTGGTGGCGGTTGGTTGATTAGGTGGCTGATGGCTCCTCCTCCTTTACCACCTTCTTCCTACTCTCCTTTTCCTTTCTCCCCCTCTTCCCATCCTTTCCCCTTCCTCCCTCCTCCCCCTCCTCTTCTCTGTTCTTTTCCCTTCTTCACCCATAACTCCTCTCTCCTTGTCTCTCTTTACCTCTCCTCACCATCTCCTTCCTTTCCCTTCCTCACCCTCCACTTCCCTTCTTCCTCCTTTCACCCCTCCCTTCACCCCTCCCCTTCACCCCTCCCCCCACCCCTCCCTTACCCCTCCTTCCCCTCCTACCCCTCCCTTAACCTCCATTCACCCCTCTCATCCCCCCTTTCCTATCCTCTTCCCTTCCCATCCCCTCCCCGACCAGGTGACCAACACACACCTGCCACCTGTCATCCACCACCGTAATTATGTAAACATCCTGAGGTGAGTGTAATATTAGACTTTTCGTAGCCCTTCTCCTTATTCCTGTAGTCCTCCTTATTGCTGTAGTCCTCCTTATTGCTTGTCCTCCCCTTGGCCTGTAGTCCTCCCTTATTGCTGTAGTCCTTCCCTATTGCTGTAGTCCTCCTTGTTCCTGTAGCCCTTCCCTTATTGCTGTAGTCCTCCCTTATTGCTGTAGTCCTCCCTTATTGCTGTAGTCCTCCCTTATTCCTGTAGTCCTCCCTTATTGCAGCTAGCCACGGCACCCGGATTTTTTATGTGTGTTTTACAGCACAGGGACGCTTAGGTGTTTTACAATTTGTGTGTGTGTGTGTGTGTGTGTGTGTGTGTGTGTGTGTGTGTGTGTGTGTGTGTGTGTGTGTGTGTGTGTGTGTGTGTGTGTGTGTGTGTGTGTGTGTGTGTGTGTGTGTGTGTGTGTGTGTGTGTGTGTGTGTGTGTGTGTGTGTGTGTGTGTGTGTGTGTGTGTGTGTGTGTGTGTGTGTGTGTGTGTGTGTGTGTGTGTGTGTGTGTGTGTGTGTGTGTGTGTGTGTGTGTGTGTGTGTGTGTGTGTGTGTGTGTGTGTGTGTGTGTGTGTGTGTGTGTGTGTGTGTGTGTGTGTGTGTGTGTGTGTGTGTGTGTGTGTGTGTGTGTGTGTGTGTGTGTGTGTGTGTGTGTGTGTGTGTGTGTGTGTGTGTGTGTGTGTGTGTGTGTGTGTGTGTGTGTGTGTGTGTGTGTGTGTGTGTGTGTGTGTGTGTGTGTGTGTGTGTGTGTGTGTGTGTGTGTGTGTGTGTGTGTGTGTGTGTGTGTGTGTGTGTGTGTGTGTGTGTGTGTGTGTGTGTGTGTGTGTGTGTGTGTGTGTGTGTGTGTGTGTGTGTGTGTGTGTGTGTGTGTGTGTGTGTTGTGTGTTGTTTTTTACGCTAAATAGAGATATTGCAAAATTCAAATAATTATGTAGATAACATCATAATAAATTACCAACCCTAACCTAACATAAAATTGGGTGAATCAGAGTGAATTTAACCATATATGAACTAATTTCTATTTAATTTAGTAATAAAAAAAAGTTATCCCCATTTGGTAAAACTATCCGTCGTGCTTTACGGTTTAATCCGGCGATCATCCCTGTTTAGCGTGACGGTAATGCTTATATGTATTTGTATCCGGAAAAAAAAATATTCACGATATGTAAAAAAATAATTATTGCATGACATATTAAAACAGTCTTATATAATAGAATAATACAGTAAAACACAAACATAATGATACATATCAAAACAAACACAAACACCTAATATAAAAAAAACGTATAAAAAACCCAACGATTTTTAGTTTAGGAACAAGGGTCAGTCAGAATTGGCCATTGACTAGTTGGTCATGGCAATAACAAAAAAATCTTAGTCAAGTCAGTGAAGCCGGATACTGAGTAAACCAAACACAGGTAGGAACAGTATCCAAACAGCTGGTTTTTTTTACCCAGGTGAGGGGATTTGTTAGGGAGAGGATAGGGAAGTGGTGGGAGGTTGGCGAGAGGGGTGATGGGGAAGTTGGTGGGGGAGGGAGCTGGGAGGGAGAGGTTGGAAGAGGTGGGAGCTGGGAGCAGGGTTAGGAAAGGGGTGGTGGGAAGGGTTAGGGGGAGGAGGGCAGGGTTAGGAAAGGAGTAAATTATTTAGGGGAGATTATGCACAAATCTTTGTTCTGGTCATTTGAATTTATAATTGTTAAATAATGTTAACATGTTTATTGTTAATAATGGTAATGACGTGTGTGTGTGTGTGTGTGTGTGTGTACGCGCATGAGAGAATATAAACTCATTCACACACACACACACACTACTATTGACTCGCCTTACCGTCACTGAGCGCCCGGGATTAATGTGGGAACGAGACATTTGCATTTTACAATCACCCGCAAAAATTTTCCGCCGATAGCATTACATTTCCATATCATAATGACGCGCGTAATGAGTAGTTGTGATGCCGTTTATGGCCGTCGACTCCCTGAATGTTTCGCCTAACCAGCCACTCTTGTACAGCTCTCGTAGGAGGTGTTGGAGTGAGGTGGAAGAGGTGGGGGAAAGAAGAGAGGGAAGGTGAAATTATGTTCCTGAGTGGGAGGGAGGAGAAGGGGAGAGGAAGATGTTAGAGACGGAAGGACAGGAGGAAGGATGCTGGACTGGGAGGGAGTGGAAGGAGGAGGGTTAAACTCAAAGGGAGCGTCTGAGAATGGGAGGGTGGTGGACGCATATGAATGGAGGGGGTGGAGGTGTTGGGACGTTTGACAGGAGTGAACAGGAGGAGGAGGAGGAGGAGGATGTCTGAGAGGGAAAGAAAGACGGAGGGACTTCTCAGTGGGAGGAGGAACTTTGATTAAGGGAGGGAGGAAGGAGGACATTTGATTGGCTGATCGTCAGGGGTGTGAGGAGCTGGAGGTGCTGAGAGGTGGTGCTAGGGGGAGGTGCTGAGAGGTGGTGCTAGGGGGAGGTGCTGAGAGGTGGTGCTAGGGGGTAGTGCTATTAGGTGGTGCTATAGGAGGTAGAAGTACTCAAATGAACCTTCACAGGTGACTTTAGGATGGAAGGGGAAGTTGGAAAGGAAGGGAGGGAATGGAAAGAGGTGGGAAGGAATGGAAAGGAGGAGGAAGAAACGAGGTGGAGAAGAAGGGGGGTGGGAGGAAGAAGAAAGTGGGTGATGTTGAGTGGAAGAGGGGATGAATGAAGATAAGAGGAGATGGGAAGGAGAGGAAGAAGGAAGAAGAAGAGGAAGGAGGAAGGAAAGGAGAGGAAGGGGAGAGGTTGTAGTTTGCATGCATCATTTCCGTCTACTCGTCACCGTTGGTTATCTGGGACAGGACAAGAGGGGCCGCCGGGTACTGCAGTGATTGATTACCTCCATTATCTCTCTCTCTCTCTCTCTCTCTCTCTCTCTTCTTATCTATCTATCTATCTATCTATCTATCTATCTATCTATCTATCTATCTATCTATCTATCTATCTATCTATCTATCTATCTATCTATCTATCTATCTATCTATCTATCTATCTATCTATCTCTAGGGTGGAGGCAGTGTGTTTGTATGACAGTTAGGTGGGTCAGACCTGATGACTCCCTACGAGAAGAAAGGTCAGCTCCCTCCCTCTGACTTTCCTTCCTCCTCCCTCCTTCCCTTCCTTCCCTCCCTCCTTCCCTCTCTCTTCCCTAACTTCCCTTCTTCCCTCCCTTCCTCCCTCCCTCCCTGGCTTCCCTTCCTCCCTCCCTCCTTGGCTTCCTTCCTCCTCCCTCCTCCTCCTCCCTCCCTCCTCCCTCCCTCCCTCCTTCCCCTTTCCTCCCTCTTCCCCCTCCTCCCCTCCTTCCCCTCCCTCCCTCTTTCTCCCTCCTCCCTGCCATCTTCTTCCTCCCTCCTTGGCTTCTCTTCCTCCTGCAAGAAAAAGCAATGAAAGAAGAAGAAAATGGGAGATAAGATAAGGAAGAGGAACGACAAGATAGAGAGAGAGAGAGAGAGAGAGAGAGAGAGAAGATAATGAAAGGCGTGGGAGAGGAGAAATAGGGTGAGATAAAGGGTAGACGAGGAGGAAGATGAGGAGGAGGAAGAAAGAGGGAGGAGGTAAGGACGGGTAATGAGATAATTGGATAACCCATTACTATTGAAGGTATGGTAGAGGGGAAACGAGGAGAGTATAATGAAAGAAGAAATATATAATAAATAGAATAAAAGGGAATAAAAGAAAGCCGAAATAGAAAAGAAAAAAAAGGAGGATAAATAAGAGGGAAAGGGATGAGGAAGAAAAAAGACAAAATGAAGGAGAGTAAAATAAGAATATAAAACGAGAAATAGAAAAATAGAGAGATGTAAAAGAAGAAGAGGAATTCGATAAGAAGAGGAAGAGGCAAACTAAAAAATATGAATAAA